ATACAAATAGTATTTACAGTACACAGTGTAATGTAGTGCATACGCAAATAATGTGGTCAGCTGACGTTACTTCTCACAATGTTTTACCTTCGCAGAGATTGTGTAGCGATTTTCGGTGCCCTCTGAAAGACCCTAAATGACATAATCTGACACATCTGTCGGGCTATTTACACGTATTTATATCGGGATTAATAGCAAGTTTACTGTGCAGAAAATCTCGTTTGGTTAAATTGATGGCTTTATGAAAAATAGATCAACTATAAAATGGCGTCCTTGATCGAGTGCTAATTTTCACTCAGATGTAAAATCCCGCTGTTTTGATAACTTTCGTCAAGCTTAACTCGTTATTTTATTAATAGGTGGATTTAGATACGAGGGGTAAAATGCAAAATGTGATCAGAAAGACGTTTAATCTACATGCAAACAATGGTGGTTTGTAAACAGTGAATAATTTGATAAAAATCACGTATTACTATTTATGGCCAAATTTAGTGGAGAGCGGAAGCGGATGGAATATGATTACAATACATACATTTTTAAGATAACTTTCTTTTTATGAGAAACGTGATCTCAGAATGTCGCAAATTTAAAGTTAGTATTACAATTCTAATTTTATTGTTTTACTAATCTTGGTAGCACGGTGTCATAAAATCAAAATTAAAAGCTATAAATATCCTAGACGAGTCTTTTTATAATGTATTTATTTTTTACTATATGTATTTCGGGTCATTTGTGGTTTTTTATAGACCACGCTATTTTCCAAAAATTAAGTATAAAATGTAATAGCGGTAATAAAACGATATAAATGTCATTTTTAACACTATGCTGACAGCATAATACCTAATAGATCAACATACATTATGAACGATATGACGCTATCTAAATTCCATTTCAATAAACGATTCAGTTTAAAACTAATTAGTTTAAAAATAAAATAAAGTAAACATTTGTTATCTTAATCAATTAGTAGAAAAGTGAAACACTAAAAAATAATGTAACAATTAAAAAAATGTAGCTGTGACATTTTATAAAATTTAAATAGGATTTACGATATAAAATTTTGAGGTAACGTCATTAAATTGATTTTTTGTATTTTTCAAAGAAGAATTTTCGCTGCATTGCTTATTTTTATCTAAAAATAGGGGACATAAAAATTATAAAGGTAAACGAGAATTTTAAAATTATTAGAGTTTGTGTGGGAAACGATCCAGACAATGTTTGGATTTTGTTCATCACTACACCAGAAGCGATAAAATTTAGTTTTTATTGATAGATTTAAAGCTCGTATGAATGGAAATAAATTTTGTTACTCCTAAGGGAAGCTACTACTCGAGAACTAATTTAGAGATTATTTTTAAAACTCTTAAGATAGCTTAAATAACTGTTAACATTGTACGTAAGGTTGTTTTCTGTCTTTCGTTTATTATGAAATTTAGAAAAATCATTTATTTAAATTTGAAGTATTTTATAAACAGTGCAAACACCTTTGGTTGAAGCGTCCTTGAGTCGGGGAATCCTGGTGTAAATGTACAAAAATAAAACAACAAAATCTGCTAAAACTCAGATTTTTTGACGGAAAAAGTTCTGTTGTCTTTGAAAAATGTTTGCATTTTCCTGTTTTCTCGATGTTTCATGACCCGTACAGTACAAAAAATAGTTCTCCCATTTCTGTTTGTGCCGCTGTTGTCTCCTGTCTGTGTTGTCAAATATTATGACTGTATTAGAAATATCATACAGATGATAAAACTCCAGTCAAAATTTATTTAATCATCCTCGCTAACAATTTTACGACATCAGTTCAACATTTTGCACAGTAAAGGATATTTTAATTTTATAAATAATACTGTAAACACAATACAAAGATCCAAGATTCTTTAATTTTTTTTCTAAAACAAAACATTTCTCAGATTCTATATTTTAATAATAATAATAATTTTTCATAAGAAATGCACAAAAATTTCCGAATATTTTTTTTTTTCAAAAACACAACTCCCGAAGATAAAAGGCCAGGAACCTTCGAGATTCTTTAAAACATCTAAGATTATTTAAACAAGCTTAAAAAAAAACAACATGGATCTCCACAATTTTTTTAAATTCTTCCGTCAGGAATCGTCGAGATTCTTTGTCATTATTTTTATTTAACAAAAGAAACATCAGAGGTGTCCAAGATTATTTTAAATTCTTTCAAAAACAAAATACCCGGAACCCCCAAGTTTTAAAATTTTTTTTCAGTAACAAAAGATCAAGGTACCCCTGATATTTTTGAAAATTCTTTTAAGGCAAAACACTGTGTCTGGAACGTTGTTTTACACAAACAATATAACATGGACTTTTGAGATTATCTGAAACTTTTTTAAAAACAGAATTCAGGGATCTCACAAGATTCTTCAAAATTTTTTCTAAAACAAAACACAAAGGACCTCCGAGAATCTTTAATTCTTTTTTTGAAAAACTCGCTCCTAAGATTCTTTACAATTTTTCCAATGGTAAAACACCAGAAGCCCCCGAAATTTTTAAATTTACAAGATTATTTAAGTTATCTTAAAAACAGCATGGGCCCCCAAGATTATTTATAGTCCTTGTAGTCCCGTACTTGTGGTTTATGAATCCGTCTTGATTTATTGTTTATTTCATTTTATGGATCAAATGAAGAACGATTCACCCCCTTTCTCGAAAGTGTAAGAATAGAGTAATGTCGCGCCTGCCTATATTTAATAAGAATACAATAAAAATAATTGTTATAATAACAGCCACATACCCAGAATAATATTCGGATGGTTTTGCTCTGTTGTAGCTTAATTACTTAATTACTCCTCTCTCATGGATCTCCACGATTCTTTAAAATCCTTCTAAAGGTAAAACATCAGAAGCCGTCGACAGTCTTTATCTTTTTTTTTTTGAACACAATACCAGAGGTCCCCAAGATTATTTTAAATTCTTTCATGAACAAAACAGCCACAACTCCCAAAGTTTTTAATTTTTTTTGTCAATAACAAAAGATCAAGGCACTCCGCACCTTTTTGAAAATTCTTTTAAAGACAAAACACAATGTGCTTAAAACATTGTTTAAATTTTTTCCAAAAATAAAATAACAGACTTTTGAGATTATTTGAAACTTTTTCAAAAACAAAATACAGGGATCCCACAAGATTCTTCAAATTTCTTTCTAAAACAAAACATAAAGGAACTCCTAGATTCTTAAATTCCTTTTTCTTTTAAACTCACTCCTAAGATTTTTTTGAATTTTTCCAATGGTAAAACATCAGAAGCCCTGGAAATTTTTTAAATTTTCAAAATTATTTAAGTTATCTTAAAAACAGCATGGGCCCCAAGATTGTTTATAGTCCTTGTATTCGCGTACTTGTGGTTTATGAATCCATCTTGATTTGTTGTTTATTTCATTTTATTGATCAAATGAAGAACGGTTCACCCCTTTTCTCGAAACTGTAAGAACAGAGTAATCTCGCGCCTGCCTATATTTAATAATAATACAGTAAAAATAATTGTTATAATAACAGCCACATAACCAAAATAATATTCGGATGGTTTTGCTCTATTGTAGCTTAATTACTTAATTACTCTTCTCTCATGGATCTCCACGATTCTTTAAAATCCTTCTAAAGATAAAACATAAGAAGCCGTCGAGAGTCTTTATCATTTTTTTTTTTTTAACAAAACACCAGAGGTCCCCAAGATTATTTTAATTTTTTTCAAAGACAAAACATCAAGGCATCTCCATATTTTTGAAAATTCTTTTAAAGACAAAATCGTAGGTATCCAGAACATTGTTTAAATTTTTTCCAAAAACAAAATAACATGGACTTTTGAGATTATTTGAAACTTTTTCAAAAACACCATACAGGGATCCCATAAGATTCTTCAAATTTATTTCTAAAACAAAACATGAAGGACCTCCGAGATTCTTTAATTCTTTTTTTTTTTTGAAAAATTCGTTTCTAAGATTCTTTAGAATTTTTCCAATGGTAAAACACCAGAAGGCCCCGAGATTTTTAAATTTCCACGATTATTTAAGTTATGTTAAAAACAGAATGGGCCCCCAAGATTATTTAAAGTCCTTGTAGTCCCGTACTTGTGATTTATGAATCCATCTTTATTTATTGTTTATTTAATTTTATTGATCAAATCAAGAACGGTTAAAATAATATTCGGACGGTTTTGCTCTATTGTAGCTTAATTACTCAATTACTCCTCTTCTTTGTTCTGAGATAAAATGGGTCAAATTTAATTTTTTTTTTTAAACATAAGTACATACTTTGATCTTCTATGGAACTACAGAACTTAAAAAAAAATGGCGAGATAATGTACACACATTAACACATATTATATAACTTACTGGAAATGTCAAAACAAAATTTGGTAATAGAGATTTTTATTTATATCAGCGAATTTATTGACTCCAGAAAAAATATCTCTTAATATTGCTAAATTAAGTTATCATTGTTAAAACTTATGAATAATAATATCAATAATAATAATGATTCCATATCATGGAGTGTGTTTTTTTAATATACCGCCTCGTTAAAAAAATTTTGACATTTTTTACAATATCACTTTTGAATAAATTATTATTATAAAAAAGTTTGCTTCATAGAGTCCCCTAAGTTTAGAACAAAATGTGCGTTATGTGATTTAAGTATTACTTTCTTTTTTTGTTGTTTTCTCTCACAAGCAGCTTTATTACTAAACTATAAATAACAAAAAATGTGTAGGTAAATAAGCTCCGTCAAGTAACAACATCGTCGATGACTTATTTTTGTAACTAATACGTATACAATTACTAAAATAAATTTGAATTATTACAACTTATATTTATCTCGTTCTTTATTAAATTCCTGACAAAAATAGCTTTATTCTGGTGACTGTGGCATCAATTTATTTAGATATGTGGAACAATCAATTTTGTGGAAGAATATTATCCCCGGATTAACAACACTAATCAAACATAACATACACCTGTTATAATTATAACAATTTTCCAGCTCCCTTTGCCATCATTCATCGGTACGACTGCAGAATCTACATTCTAAAAAAGACCATCCAATTTTATCTGGATACCGATGGAACGTTCTATGCATTTATTAACAAGAGCAACTCTTTTCAACGCTTTGGAATCGAAGATAAATCTTACTGCATTGAACACATCCGAAGGAAGACTACGAACAACTTTGAGTTTTTGATGTGCTTTCCAGAGGTCCCTGTCCAAGGAAAATTCGTAGCTGCGCGATGGGCGAAAATAATTTCCTCCATATTTATTGTTTTCACCATGGCTGTCTATTTCTTCTTGCCAGAAATGTTGAATTTATTTGGCAAAATTCTGATGAGTTACTGCGTAGCGATGTTGGCGATTTTTATATTTTTGATTTACGCACAGTTTAAAACTACGGATGTGTCGGACGCTGCGTGCCTTAGGGATAGTAAGAATGAAAATTATCAAAATGTATCAATTTTGACTTTGTTTGTTTGTAGGTTTTTTGTCTTCGTATCTGTCGTTGACTTCTTTCTCGTGGCTGAATGTCATGTGTTTCGACATTTGGTGGACTTTTGGGTAAGATAATTTTACCAATTAATATGAAATTGTGATCGTGAAAACGAACCTACGTAATTTATTTTATGTTGGAAAATTGATTTGTCTTACAGTGATCCATTAATGTCACAAGTTATTTACTAATACGTAGGTCGGGTCCATAACCTGTTGATCAAACGCCATATGCAGCAAACATTTAGACACATCTTTGATATATCGTTTTTTCGTTCCAGAACACCCAAATCGTTTGTAACATCGACCCAAAAAAGAAGGGAACTGAAGCGATTTCTCTTGTACTCCCTATATGGCTGGGGGTTACCCGCATTTTTAACACTGTTAACATACCTTATTCACGAGGTGGTTGCAGTTCCCTATTCAGTGCGTCCGATTCTTGGAACTTATAAGTGTTTTTGGGAAAGGAGTAAGTGTTTCTTCAAACACATTTTTTTCTTTATTAATAACATCAATTGCAGTAAGTGGTAACTATGGAATGATAATATATTACGTGACCCCGTTAGTACTTATGGAAATTGGAAATTTGGTACTGTTCTTGCGGACGGTGTATTATTGTTTGAAGGTTAAGGGCGAAATCAACAGAATGAATGACACCAGAATGTCAGTTAAGGAAAGAAAGAAAACTTACAACGTCGACAAAGAACAGTTGCGTTTTTCAATTTGTTAGAATTTTTGTGTATTGTAATGGTTTTAGGTTGCTTTTAATTCTCAAACTGAGTGTCACTATGGGACTCTCTTTTGCGTTTGAGGTGGTGTCATCCATGTTCAATTTTCAAACTAACAGAGTGACGGAATATATAGAAATAATTTGGGATACAATAAATTGTTTCCAAGGTGAGTAGGTTTGTCTTAAATTGTTATTTTTGTACAAAGTCACTTTTTATTTTCCAGGGGTATTTATCTTTCTTATATTCATTTTCAAAGTGAAAGTGTTCCGATTATGCCGGAACCGCCTTTGTACCACCAAGGACAGGAAAATCTCAGTCTCTTCTTTACCAACGGGTACAACTCAAGTTTCCGAACCTCTCACTTCCAAGCCTAGAATTAGAAATTAATGCTTGTTGTACAAGTGTTTGTAAAATTTTGTACCTTATGTGTAGTTGTATAATTTATGTGACTTTCTACCACTGAGTTTTGCGTTTATACTGCAGAATTTATAAATGATTGTCGTTGATTTTGTCGCTTTACTGAAACAGGAACCTTGTTACATGTCATAACTAACAATCAATAATACTAGGAAGGTGAGAAGACTGGATAATGTAAATTTGTAATGATAAAGTATGTGACAATCATTTATAGACAATCTTGTTGCAGATTGTAGTAATTTATATCTACTTAAACATTGTATTTATATTTGAGTGTATGCAACCAACTATACCCCAAAGTATCGAAGCTTATAATTAGATTCGTTTATTCTTTTAAGGTTTTCTCATTCCAGCAATATTTTTACAGCTCGAAACGACCTGAAATGTTTCCGGCGACTACACTTTCGTTCCGAGTAAAAGTAGTAGTAGTAAAAATAGTACAGGTTGTAATAAACTTATGCATTTAGACATGTGAATGCAGGATATGTGTGACGTTAGACTGCTTGAAGCTTTGCAGTCTAATAAGTCTATTATTTATCACACAGTAAAAGAGTTGTTTTAATTACAGTTTTTTTATTACCTAACTTTTTCGGTGGGACTAAATATTAATTTCAGTGTGTACAACTGAGAACAAATATGACGTAAGTGTTTTCCTAAAAATGCAGGTAAACTAGACAAATCATTTTCCGGGATTGTTAAAATAAACTGGTTCACAGATTATTTAATTTTAGATCCCTGTGTGCACTTCTAAAAAAATAGTATTATAATAACAACATAATAAGTTTTTTTATCGATTCGATAACTTGAACCCACATTTAAAATTCAAAATAAACATAGATCGGAAACTTGGTTGCATAAATTTGGGACACCACATACGTCATAGATCGACCATAAACAGAAAGACCACAAACACACACGCATAGAGGCAGACGGAAACGGGAAACCCGCATTATGTATTCTGCGGCCCGTAAGACGTAAATGCTTAGGTAGTTTAAAACAGATAGTGGCGAAAACAAATAAAAGTTGATATAACTTGTTTAAAAGGAGAAATTATAACAAAAGTTAAAATAAATCGAGAAAACTTTAAAATCCATAAATATAAAATATTGGGTCCAGAGGTCGCTGTACATACAAATTTATTGTTTTAAAACCACTGGAAAATAAATATCGTGTCATCAAAAGTAATTATTCTAAAATTAGATAGATTAGGCAAACATATATACAGAAAGAGTCTATGATATATTTAGATTGATTGGTCTCCACTTCAGGAACACAGGAAATTCGATCCTTTTTTCTGAAACATTCATTAAATAATAATTTTTTGAAATGACGTCATCATCTTTTTGAAAGGGACGAATAAATAAATTTCAAACAAGGTTTTTGTTAAGTCTTTATGACGTGAGCGAAAGCGGGAAATTTATGTGGTATAAATACGTGCAAATTTATTACTCTCGCAGTTCGTGTAAATCAATATTAATGGGCACTAAAACGCGCCTAACAGGTAGCTATTACGATTAGGACCACCTACCGTACATCCGAATGTACCCTTAAAATTAATAAGTGGAGATGACGCAGTGAGATATATTTATAGTGTGAAAGGAATATTGCGCAATTTATATGGGGGCCTTTATTACAGGAAATGTGCATATTTTTTATGGCGTCGATATGAAGTAAAATGATTAACAAGAATCTAACTATTGATTAGGAAAAAGTTCAAAGCGTCGTAATGGTTTCTTACGGAAATTACTTTTAAGATAGAACGACTACCTTAAAAGCTGCTTGTGACAAGCATATTTGCAATTTCATTAGTATAAATTGTCTATTTGCTACAAAAAACATGTTTACAATAAACATTTTTACAAATGTAAAAATATAAATACTTAGAATAAGGAATAAATTTGAAATTATATTGGTTTTGAATGTACAATTGAAGGTGAATTTCTTTGCTGCTTGTTTTTTGACAAGAATTCAGGTCATGGCGTCCTCTGATGTATGTTGTTTTACTTTTTTAAACGATTTTTTTAAATTACAGTCCTCAAATCCTAACTTTAGTAAATAATCGAAGAACTAACTCAATCGCAGACCATTTTAATATATTTTTTTAAATTTGTTCCAGAAAGCTTAACTCGTCAGGGTTCAAATCCATAAAAATAAAACTTACCTGATCAGGTTAATAAAAGTTCGACACACCAATACTGCAAAATAAATTTAATTCTAATCAATTGTATAATAAATTATTGCATTACCTTGAAGTTGGGGAATCTCCGATTTATTTATTGCCTTGTTCTGCGATCTGAGCAAGGCTTTCGATTGTGTTAAACACGATATTTTGATTGATAAGTTATACCTTGCCTCTCAGATGAGTAAAATAACTCCTGGTACATCGAAGACAATACGTAACAGGAGTTCAGTTGAAAAATCATCAAGGTGGCGTTGCTTTTTTGATAGAAGGAAATGTAGCAAAAACGCATGTGTTTTATTAATCCATACTGTTGTACGTAATTGACATTTAAGCGTTGTCAGCTTAAAAACTCAAAGCCGACGTGATGAATTTTTCAATTGAACACCCGGTATCTATTCGTTATGTCACCAGTAAATCAATTATTCATATAAAATTGGAAATTTTGAACGTAAGCTTGGGGGTATCTCAGGGTACGGTTCTTGGCCCAGTCCTTTATTTGATCTGTATTAATAATATTTATTTATAGCATCTCAATTTTTTCTGATATTTATATACTAAGGGGCCAATTCCAAGTTGGCGGCGCAAGTCACTGGTGCAGCGCAACTTTATAATGCTAATTTGGGTATCAAATGCTGGTTGCTAGGGGTGACGGAATCAACAAATGCAGTTGTGTCGAATTTTCCATTGAAATTTGCACCATGGAGTTGCGGCACCTCTAGTAGGCAGTGCAAGTTGGCGCAATTTATCTCGAAAAATTGCGTTTGTTTATTCCGTCACCCCTAGCAACCAGCATTTGATACCCAAATTAGCATTATAAAGTTGCGCTGCACCAGTGACTTGCGCCACCAACTTGGAATTGGCCCCTAAGGATACATATAACAAATTTTAATGGCTTTTAAGGATATTGTTACGAAATAAACCCATAGGTTGCTCCGGTACGACGCTTATGGCTCGTCGAGGACTTTCTCGTATGTACGCCAATGACGACTCGTCATCGATGACGGCGGCCGGCGATCGCTAAAGAGAAGCCTGGAAGCGGAAGTCGCGATGGGCAACCCGGAAAAATCCCGAAGCGGCTTTCTCGATCCATCGAGAGCAACCTATCGGTTTAAATACAGGCCACCGTCGGGAACGAACTTTGAATGATTAGAGGATGATTAAAAATGTTAACATATTTTTCAGCAGCATTGGAATTATAACTATCAAACTGACAAATGCCATCTTTGATATTATTAAAATGTTCACAGTTCGCCTTCTTGTTAATATTTCGGGAATTTTTTAGTAAGTTTTTCAAAACCAAAATTTTCAATATCCTCTCTATCCCTCAATATGAAAATTTTGGACCATTTTTTGACAATTGTCGAAAGAAATATAACTAAACACATGTTCTTATAGACTTCGACCTTCAGAAATTATAATTTCGGCGTTAATTCTTCAGCAGTTCCTATCATTTTTCCAGAATTGCCTAATGAAATATTAATACGATAAAATGTGAAATGTTGCAATTTTTTGGATTTAAAAAAAAAAAAAAATTCAGAACGACTGCTTTTATATCTTGCAACAAGAGCATAAATACGCTGGTTCTTATTAATTCCTTCCGCTAAATTTTTTTCTCTTTGTCTGATAGATGTTTTTGTCGTATTTTCTCATTCATTCTAATCAAAATTTTAGATAATGAATGACTTAATGAAAGGAAAATCACACGACTCACTACGTTTTCAGGTTCAAGACGACAAAATCTATATTCTAGAATTTTTTGGAATTTTCTTGGCAACTTTTTCAAAAGCAAAATTTTTCAATAAACCATGAAAATTCTGTTCAATTTTCAAAAATTTTTGAAATTTTACCAAAGACATTTTCTTATGGATTTCCATATCCAGCCTCAGTTCTTCAAAAGCTCCTATCATTTTTCCAGAATTTCCCACTGAAATATTAATAAAATGTGACTGAAATACTGCCAAATTTTTCAATAACCTATGAAAATTTTGTTCAATTTTCAAAATTTTTCGAAATTTAACTAAAGACATTGTCTTAACATTTTCTTATGGTTTTCTATATCCCGAATTTAGTTTCGGCCTCATTATTTCTTCGATAACTCCCAGCATTTCTCCTGACCATTGAATCTTGTTTTACTGAAAAAAAAAAAATTTTTTAATAAAATATTTTTAAATCCAGCATCGAGAGTAAGAATGTTTTGGGAACTTTTTGGCAATTTTTCCAAAATAAAATTTTTCTACCCACCTTAGGAAAATTTCGGACAATTTTCAACAATTTTCGATAAATTTCGAAATTTAGATGTTAGTTTCGGCCTCATGTTTTCGATACCTAATACCATTTTTGCAGAATCTCCGCTAAAATATTGCAATTTTTCAACTTTAAAAAATTCCTTTTTCTAATTCGTCTACATTTACTAAATATCCCATTCTTCATGCGGTTTTTTTGTAGTGTTTATTCCGTCGATATCAGTTGTTTCATCAAGTGGGAACCAGATGGGAGCGTCACCGACGTTTTCTTGAATTAATTTCAGTGTAGATTCGTAATCGGTTTCAAATTTTTTTTTTTTTTTTCAATGTACTGATAAACTGGGAACTTGTGCCATTAGCGTACCCAGTAAACTTCTATGAAAGATAGGGTGTTCAAAAAATGGTGCACTAACTCTAGAAAATGTTGTCAGGACCATTTATGGAGCAGAGAAAAAATAATTTAGAAAATTTATTTGTCCAAATGTAGAAGATTAAGTCTTTCAAAGGATTTTTTCCGAAATTTCACCATATTTTAATTCACTATTTTGTGTTGGGTACTTGAAATCGATTGGAGTTTCATTATTCAAAATAATTTTGGAGGCATCTTGTTTTATTCATAGATTTCTTCATTTTATAAAAGTTCAAAAAATGTAAACATTGTTTAGGGCGTGGCTAAATTTTCACGTTTTTTGATATACAGTATAACCTCTATAATCCGAACTCACGATTATCCGAACAGAGGCTATAGTTGAAGTCGATCTCTCCTTAATCCGAACTGATCTTGAAAACATGCACCTACTTGTAAAAATGAAGCAAGATCTTCTTTCTGTACGTGTTTTATTGAATTTTTTGAAATTTTTGAATACTAGCCCGGCCCACCCGTCTTTTATTTTCTTAGAGAGTAGGTTATTTGGCAAGTGTTAGCCCCACCCACCCGCTTGTTTTCTTAGAGAGTAAATCACTTGCCAAAATCAGTCTTATCGTAGCGAGTACTACTAGTTTTTTCAGTTTTTCAATTTTTCAACTTCCGAATTTTGCAATTTCTCGCTTTTTAAATTTTCAATTTTTTGATCTGTCTTTCGATTTTTGATTTCTCTGGGCAACTGAAAAAAACGTTCGATTTTTTAAATTTACAAC